TTTATAGAAATGTCCCAAACTGTCCACTCTGTGTCAGTACTGGACTTTCAGGTTGATTTAAAACAAGAGATGAGCCATTTTCAACCCATGAAATGTGAAGAATGTTAATATTAACAGCAGCATTAATGTATTATATATATTATATTACTTACATTTAATCCAGTTTACAGCTCAAAAAGCATGTTTTAGGGTATAATCAGTAAAATGTTCCATTATATCGGATGTTTCTGGATACATATCTGCTGCATTAATGTTGTAGATGTTAAAGGTTGAGCTCATTTGAACTACTTTACACTTTTGGGTAATTATATGCATTTTATACTTAAAGATCATCATGTTTGTCCTGTGAGAACCAAGGAATCTTTAAAAGTCAGAAAAACAGCCCAATCAGCACATCTGGAGCTAAAGGGAATAATATATTCTTTATGTTAAATATTTTATTTCCGGACTTTCACACGGTGTCTTTAAACCGAGACGTCTAAAATATGTATTCTATTTCACTTTAATGGAGAAAAATGATCATTTTCACTGTGAATAAAGATTTTACTGTTTGTTTGAGGCTCCTGATTTAAACAAAGGAAAGGAAATAAAACAAGGATGTTAAAATCCAAAGCAAAAACACTTTCTCCTCACCTCTTCATCATGTCCTTGTCTCCTCCTCCTCCTCCTCCACAGTTCTCCCTGACGTGCAGGGCGTCGTAGGTCAGCGTGTACTCGGTCTCGTCGTTGTAGTCGGGTCCCAGCAGCGTTCGGGCCCAGATGCCCATATCGTACGGAGGCAGAGTCCCACCGAACTCTGACGGCAAACACTCGGGCTGGATGAGCTGGTGGAGCGAGTTCAGGTTGTTACCGTGGAGGAAGATCTGAGGAGAGGAAGAGTGAGAGGAGAGAGACGGAGAGAGAGGAAACAAAGAGAGGACAGAAGGAGACAGTGAGAGTAGAGGAGGCGAGAGAAAACAAGGAGAGGAGACGAGGAGAGAGAGTGAGAGAGAGGGAGAGGAGAGGAAACAAAGAGAAGTGAGGAGATGAGGAGAGGAGGAAAGAGAGAGTAGAGGAAACATAGGGAGGAGAGGAGACAGTGAGAGTAGAGGAAACGAGAGGAGACAAGGAGAGACAGAGTGAGAGGAGACGTGGAGAGGAGGAAAGAGAGTAAGAGAGAGAGGAAACAAAGGATAGAGAGAGTAATAAGGAGAGGAGACAAAGAGGGGAGAGAAAACAGGAAGAAGAATGAAGAGAGGAAGGTGTTAATAATCAAAAGAGAAGATAAAACTGACACAACTGACAAAAGAGGAGGAGAAAAGGTGAAAATAAAATGGAAGAGTAGAAAGAAGAGAGGAGGCAGAAAAGAAAAGAGGGATGAGGACGTGTGTGTGCGTGTTTTCACCCTCTTCCTGGTCTTGTCCTTGAGGAACGGTTTGATGATGGTGTACATGGCGTGAATGTACCACGGCTGATTCACAAAATGGATTCCTCCAAACCGAGCGGGAAAACTGTCCTGAGGAGACGACGAGAGGAGACGAGGATCAACAACCAACCCTCAACATTAAACAGCATCAGGTAGTCAAATGAGATCAATTTAAAGTTCAATAAACCACATTTTATATCCAGTAACCACCATAAAAGACGAAGAGGAGCCAGTTTGACCGGCTGATTTCCAGCGGCTCAGACCAGGCCTCTAATGGAGACACCGGGCCAGTAAAGGGGACCTGCCTCTAACTGGGAATCGAGCTTATCAATCGATCATATCGGAGTGTTTCCACTCACCTGGAGGCCTTCGATGGCCAGTTTGAGGATGTTGGGCGTGAGCTTGGAGGCCTGCTTGAAGGAGAAGTTGCTCCAGTCGATGATGAGGATGAAGCCGTTGATCTGGAGCTCCGGGTTCTCTATCAAAACCTCCAGAGAGAGCAGGATCGCTCGCAGGATGTCCGTGAACGAGTTCCTGATAGAGGCGGAGAAGATTACTGAGCGTGTGTGTGTGTGTGTGTGTGTCAACAGTTAGTGATGTTAACTTGTTAACA